ATGGGACTAGACACATGTAGACTCCACACAACATAAACGTGCACACTCTTATATGCACACACACACACACACACCACATGAAGTGGAGAGAAGGGGAGGGTCAGGATGACTCACACGTCAATGATAACACCCCTCCCCCCCGCACCGGTCCCACATACACACACAGAGGAAGGAAATATCATTTGGATGCAACCCACATCCTGGGGAACCTCCCATCTGAAGCTCTCAGGCGGGGAGGCTCTGACTGAATGCAGTTTGTCTAGGGTGATGGGATTCTCTGGCATGATTGTCTGAATTTATATAAATAACAATTAAATCAAAAATGTGAAAACTTTGCAGTCTTTCACATCCTCAAGGTCTCTTGACTAAATGTGCTCATCTGTATCAGTGCAGTTTGAAACTGTGTCTGTACTCACCTTGGTGGAGATGATTGGCAAAGCACTAGATTATCCCAGATTTAAGACTGCATTTCCCAGAAACCTTCAAATTGAATGTTAAAGGTTTTCTCTAAATTTGTCTTGCCAAGGAGAATAAAAAAGCTACAAATGATTTTAAATAAGTCAATCAGTCAGTGCACCTGCTTTGTATAGTGATATATTGGTTTTTTTTATGTCCCTCTGTTTGCTGTAATACCTGTAGGATATATTTTGGATTTTAACTACTAATATGGCATCTTCTTTTTGCCTTCCTCTGATTGGATGACTGGGGGTAACTGACTGACATACCTCATGGACGTCATATAGACCAAAACGTCATGTATTTAATCAATTATTTGGATTAAGAGAGACAGTGTGTGGGAGGCTGCCAACTATACTACGCTTTGACAGTTATACATTTTTTTTATTCTCTCATTTAAAAATGCAACAGGCCAGCAAGTGGTAAGCTTTAGATTATTTCTGTGTATCACAAAAGCCATATCGATGTGATATAGTAGAAAAGCACAGGTGCAAATAATCAAAAATAAATGCTAAATTCCATTTACCTGCTTCAGTTTCTGGCTGCTTGTATTTTTGATTAGGGAAGTGCAGTATAAAAACCATTGTCTCCCTTGTGCTTCAAACTGGATGTTGTCCTGTACATATGAGTTTTTCAGCTACTGAAGTCAAATGGTTTTTACACAAAAAGACTAACAGAAGCCAGAAAATAAAGCACATCTTACTGGAAAGATGACTCGCTCCCAGATTCTCTGTAACCCAATTCAAAAAATCTCTGCTTATCTCCTGATAGCTAAAACATACAAGCAGTGGAGGCACTTGGCGAGCACACACAATTCCCATCAATTACTCCAAGAAATACTTCAGTCTGGGTAAATTGAGGACAGCTGACATGACACAGACAGTTCTTGGCACAATGGAGTTATTTTATGAATGACATCTGGATAACAAGAACACCTGCACTGGGTGACCCTGCTGGAGCGGAGGAGCAGTGATGTTACAGAGGGATTCAAGTGGACTGAGGCTGAATTTTGATGTAGAGAAGGAATTTACAGCTGAAATACTGTCAGCAGTTAAACCCATCTTCACCTGCCAAATAGAAAATTCTGGGTCATGTGTTGACGTGGTGCTTCAGTGGACCTGTGTTGAAAGTCTGACATATGACCTTTGCCTGTTTGCCTTTCTCTCTCTCCCACTTTTACAGGGTACTTGTAATGTGTAAAAGAAACAACTGAACAAAATAATGTTTTTTCAAGTAATGCATTTTCTAAAGCTGAGACAATTCATAGTTTGCATTCCGGCCCAGAGCTACTGAACATCTGCAATTTCTAATGGACAGCTGTTTCTTTTTTCTCAAAGTGCTCTGCAGAAAAAGAAATGCTTTCAGGAAATCTGACTTTCAAAAAGTACCAGTGGTGCAGTAACGCAGAAGTAAACAACTGGGTAAATCTGTAGTTTAGAGGGCCGGGAACCATTTTCAAAAAATGAAACAACATTCAACAGCTGGCTTTCAGAATGTAGTAAATGTGTCTGATATTTTCTTTCCTCAAATTGCTAGTCATTCTAAAACACCTACCTTTTTAATAAGTACGAACCTCGTGGCAACATGCTAAGCAATACAATTAATATTTCCTGTGCACAGTAGTACGTGGCAGAAGGATCTGTACTTTAGGCTTTTAAACTGGTTGAGATTCTGCTTTGCTTCCATGTTCCTATGTTCTACTCTTTGAAATAGTTTATTCATAGGATGTAAATGAATTGAGAGTGACATTTTCCCCCAGTGCCCTGTGAAAGATGACCCAGCTGCATGGAACCAATTTCATGTCAGCTGAGTCCCACTAGAGACCAATATCCAGCCACGATCAGGTGGGGCGGCCTATGAGATGACGTGACATTATGTGACAGTAAAAGTTTCCAGTGAAACCCAAGACAGTTTCAGTTAGTGTGACATGTCTTCAGTTAGTGTGACAGGTGGGGCGACTTTTTTATTTTCTGATCCAACTGCAAGGAAAAACACTGCTGACATGTATAATTAGCCACCACCAGTAAATCGTCTCCATTCCTGCACACACACTTGTCTCGCGTGTTAAATTTAGTACGGCTAAAAGTACATCACATTTCAGTAACTGAGCATGGCGGTCAGCTAGGCCTCCTCTTCCTGTAGCTGAAGACTGCTGAAGTTTAACCTTTCAAAAGTTTGCACACACCAGCCATGCTCAGAAAGACCCAACAGCCTTTGTTTTTAAATAGGTAAAAAAAAAATGGCTGTGATTTTCCTCTCCTTAAAATAACTTGTAATGTATTTGGGATTGTTTTTATTTTTTATATTTATTTTTTGCGTAGTTTATTTTCTCACATATCCCATAGCCTTCAGTATGTCTCTAATACGCAGTCTCATAATCCTTATTCAATACATACTGCTGGCCAAACACCTGCCATTGATGGCAGCTGTGTGGTTCTTAGGTTACCTGTTTTACTCATGATTTATTTTATGTTGGATTTGGTGAGACCTAAATGTGTAACAATAATAAACTGACACTAACACTGAATGTTGCTCCCAGTGGCAGTCAGACGAACACACTGCGGAAGTTAAAGCTGTGCTGCCATCTTGTGGCCAAACATTATTGTTACTTCTAATGCTAATGAATGTGACCCCTGTAATCTATTAATAAAAACCATGCAATACCAGAAACGGACACACACACACACAGACATGGTATGGACCAGCATCCAATTGCCACAAGGAAGGCCAAGTCCCCGCGGTATGAGTAATACCAGGCACACACACACTAACAGGCTGATTAGCAACAGGGCCCGGTTTTTCAAAAGGTTTAATCCGGATAAAATTGATCCGGATTTAGTAATCCTTTTTTTTCGATCCGTGATCACGTAATCCAGCTTACTTCTTGAGCCAGTTTTTCAAAGCAACATCGGATTGGATCAATCTGATCCGGATAGGAACTTTTCAGGATCACCAAATCTGGATAACCAGTGCTCAAACAGGATAGGAAATCACAATGTAGAACTATAGATATGTAAAGAGCAACAAGTAGAATAGCCAGTGTGGGGTCAATATACGTTTATTATTATTTGAAATGAAAACACACACATTTAAAAGAAACTAAACACAAGAAAAACCCCACCCCATCCTCTTCCAGCAGTCCGCTCATCTGAGACCTACAACACAAACACTGTACATCGAGGATATTTATAACAAGTTTCAAATATAGATGTATTGAATTAAGAAAAGTGACCTAATGTCAAATACTCCACACTAATTTCAGACTTCCTCATCTGATGTGGAGAGAACAGCTTGTCTGAGCGTAGCCTTTAGGAGGCGGATCTCAAGTCTGGCCTTGGTTTGCTGCAGTTTGGTCAGAGTCAGTTGTTCCTCTGCCAGATGAAGCTGTGCTTCTGCCCTTTCAGTCTCTTTTTGCAGAAGTGCCTTGTAATCATCATCTTTGTTTGATGAAGGCCTCTTCAAGCCTTTGCTCTGAGATCCTGTGGCAACTACCACTGGCTCAACCAATGAGGATCCAGCTTCTTCCTCAGGAACAGAGCTGAGATTCAATATAAATACGCTCTCTGGATCAGCCTCAGGAGGAACTGGCAGATTCACCTCCTCCTCCTCAATCCAAGGCTCGCCATCCCCTACAACACCTTGAATACCATGAAGAGCTTGCGACTTCTCACCTCCAATGATGTCGAGGACCACATCTGTGTAATCCCCCCTCTTAAATGGCTTGTTGCCTGTTTGTGGGTTTTTGGCTTCAGCATGGTCCTTTGTTGCCCTGGCCTTAAGATTCTTCCACCGCAATTTGATTTGGTCTGTGGTCCTCCTCTGGCCAGACCCTATGGCATTCACATTGTCTGTGATTAAAATCCAAACATCATTTTTCTTTTTGTTGGTATCCTTAGCAGAAGTAAAACTTCCCACTATTGTTCCATAATGGCACCGAACACCCTCTAGTAGTGCATTGGTTTCAGCAGCAGTGAAGTTACAGCTTCTTGAGTCCATGGTTCCGTTGCTTTACTATAGTGAACATTGTTCATCAATTATAGGCGTTGGGTCCAATTGCCTCAATTGAACACAAGCCACACCTACTCAGTTGTAATAGGGGATGAACAAATAAAATTAAAACCTTATGAATAAATAGGATATCTTGTATGATACTGCATGATCCAAATATAGTATTATTTGATACATTTTTAAGGTTTTCATAACATTTTGGGCATGGAATCCACGCTGAATCCACCCTTCTGATGGGATCAGTTTAATCCAGATTTTCTGGATCAAAGTGATCCAAATCCTACAAAAAAGTTCTGAAAAACCCTAAATGAAGGTTTGATCCGGATCAAAACCAAGATTGGATTACATGATCTAATCCGATTATGTAATCCGTTTCTTCTTTTGAAAAACCCATTTTCAAGATTTGATCCAATCCATTATCCAAAATCCTAGTGGATTACTTTTGAAAAACCGGGCCCAGGACACTAAACAATACATGTTTCCTTACACTTAGATGTATTTTAAACAATAATCATAGGTACAGTAAATCAAACATACAATGTATCCATGGGTTACAATACAGATTTAAATAGACTTAATATAATATGTATTACTTTGTGATAAGGTGTTCACATTAACTTTTGCTTGTTCAGTGTACAGTATATGTATAACTTATTTTGAAACTGTTTACAATATTCAGTGAGAGTACATTTCACAATAAAACATAAATAAACACTGACTATGTAATTTAGCCTAGTATGAGTTCACAGTAACGTGTGTCTCAGTAAAGCAAAAGAAATATGCTTGCAGAAACCTCTACTGGACTATGAGCCTAGTGAAAAGAAGTTTTTGTAACACCTATAGTCCTTGACAGAAAGGTCAGTTTGTGTGTGTGTGTGTGTGTGTATCAAATAGTTGAGCATTTGCCACCAACAAATGTTAAATTGTTTCTAATTACTGAAACAAAGATCTAACATCTACCTTCAAGACCTAACCACAAGTAGTAACAATATATTCATACCGTATAGTTACTGTATACAATCGTACAAATGTTTCCATGTTGCCGTGGAAAACTGTAACTCTTGTTGGGACACTTTGATACTGATAGCTTGGAATTGATTTGTTTTACTCTCAGGAGATTTCTAATGTTGTGTAAATAAAGTTTTTTGTGCAGATTTGATCGTTTACATAAAACGACATTTTTGAAAATGCTGACATAGTTCCACATAGAAGTCAAGTGGCTGCAGAAACGGGTATTAAACGGGCTTAGTTAAAAGTAAAGTAGCAAACATCCACCCTGCTGAAGAGCCACTAAGCTAGTATTCCCTGTAGTGTACAACTTGATAACCTTTGCATGAGTTTGAATTCCACACCACATGGTCAGCTTTTTTTTTTCTTTCTTCTCACTTCACAGGTTCTTTGCTGTCTTCTAGCAGTGGTATGTCATGCCAGGGTTCAAAGCGACGTTCTGGCGTGCACTGACACTGCATGTTGCATGTTTGCTCTGAGAAAGTATGCATGTGCTTATAAGCAGAAGGTGTTTGGGATATTATCTCTGTGATGCTCATGTATAAGCTGCTTACACCTGCTGGAGTTGCTTGATTCCTGCCTAAACAAGAGGAATATACAGACTTGGTATTAACTAAGTGTAAAAACAGCATTATGTGTTTGCCTCAGGCTTTACCGGCCTAACATATAGATTTCCCTTGACCTTTAAATAGGCTACTTTGCCCAGTGTAACGTTACACTATTAATGTGCATGTAAGACTTCAGTGAGCGTGTCTGTGGTTCCTAGTGTTGTCTTGCTTTACATGTTGCCTGCAGGCCTTGGCAGGAAGAAGATGGCCTTCTGACCCTGGTGGGTGTCTGGTCCTGCTTTAGGTTGTCCGTTCCTCTTCAGTGCAACATACCAGTTGTATTTCTGAGAGCGATATGTGCTGTAGTGGTTTTCTTCATACTTCTCAAGGAAGTAACACTCATCATTCAGTTCTTGCTGAGACAAGAAAATGGAGAGGGAGGGACAGAAAAGAGGAGGAAGATTAGAGGAAATTTGTTTTATTGCAAATCTTCACTTATTATTACTCACCACTGATTTATATTCTTCAAAAGGTCCTTTGGTCACTATTTTATGATTTTCCAGGATTTTGCAATAGTGGAAAACAGGCTAATACAAAACTGTAGGAATTTGTGAGTTTAAATGTATAATGACAAGTTAATAATGGAAGTATTTATGTGATCTGATGATAATAGCTTTGGCTAAAACGACACCTAGAACTATTGAGCAATAGTTAGAAAGAGAAACAGAGCCTCTTTCATTTTGTCTGGCAATATTAATACCATAGTTTAATATCGTAAGTATTTAATCTTTCCATCTAAAACAACTGATTCTGTAAAAACTCACTGATCCATAGAGGTGCCCGTTTTTGTTCATGGCGAAGTACCTTCCTGTCTTCTCACCCTTAATGACCACCACTCCCACACTCACTGCCTTAAGCTTGAGGATGTCTGAAACACAAACATATGCCACTGTTTATCATAACACAGCTGCATTGCTTGTTTTTGCTTTTTCAAGGATAAAGTGGAAGATAAACCTCTTAAACTCAACATAAGCATCATTTTATTTTACTTACCCACCGTACTGAGCAGCTTCACTGGAACTGCTGTGTTTACATATCTTGCCCTAGATGACTTTAACAGTTTGTGCAACAGTTTGTCCCATTCACCTGAATGTTGTTCCATTTTTACAAGAGTAGATTTCAGTTTTCCAACATAATGTGGAACCAGACATCTTAAGCTAGCCTCGTCTGTTTTGTTCATCATTATCTTAGCAAAGATGAAGACTTTTAAACATTCATAAAGTTAAAACCTTCAGTTAAAATTCTAAAATTCTCAGCTTCCTGTTAATCTTTTCAGTAGTGTTGTAGCCAAAAGACTGTCCTCCGTATCTTTTTCTCCCTTTCCATTCTTCTGATTCTGAAATACAACACTCGGGCGCAGACAAAATGAGAGAAAAAGGTTTTCTTTCTTACCGTAAGGATCATTTTCCTGCCTCCCACCAGTCACACTTCCATCTGGTAAAATCCTCAGGTGATATCCTCCATTCCAGCTGTAGAGCCTTTTCAGCATCTGGTGCTCCTGCCTGGACAGGGACAGAGAGGCAAGTCCCAGTGGGAGCACTGTAACATCTCCCTCAGACATCCTACAGAGAGTTTGAAGCTCGGATGAAGCAGAGTGATGTCCCTGTGCCTGCAACGACAGAGGAAAGCCACCGTGTTCACTGATCATACCACCTTGACTGTGCCTGAGAAGCAAGAATAAATAGGAAGGGGAGTATAGCACATGTGATTACGGTCAGTGCTCCCCCCACCCAGCCTCCCTCAGTTCCCATCTCCCTCTTTCTGTGTCTCTGCCATTTTCATGGAATTCTTTTTTTATGAAGTGATGAAACCAGCCAGGGAATCAGATCTGGATATATGCAAGCAGAGCCACCACATGTCCAGACATGTTTTCTAATTGAGCATCAATTAAAATTCTTTTTTTGTAAAAAATAATTTTCCAATGGCAGTGACATAACTTTCACCTGAAATTAGTGCAAGGCCAGACAAGACCTGCAATGGCCTAGTAATTATATCTAACAGTTTAATACATGTAATCCCAAAGTTAAACACAAGAGCCATTTCCCTCATACTGTTTGAAGAAAAACCATTTTGTATTAACACCCTCCAAACAAATCTCTAGCAGTCAGACACATAAAATCTGCTTGGGGAGCAGAGATTCACCCACTCCTGGCTGTCTTACCCTTGGACTGTCTGCGTCTTCAACAGCTTATCCAAAAAACCAATCGCGCCAATTTAAAAGCCACAGTGTAATCTATGTTCTGAGCAGCAGGGATCCCAGACAGGCTGTAGCTGTCATGAAGTCTGTCTTGCCAAACTGAAAATGAGCAGGGAAGAAGTGAAGCACCCAGCCAGCGGTGGCACTGCACAGTTCTGGTCTTTACCATTTGTAGCCAGAGGTAGAGCATAGCTGTGATAGCCAAGCTGGCCCACATCTGGAATGTCTTGGAGAGGCATAAGAATTAGAGGGAGGAAGAGGGGAAGGAGAGAGGGAGAAAGAAAGTGCAAAGCCACAAGAGGAATGTGAGGCCTACCCACTTGCAGTCTGCTTTCTAATGAATAGGACCTGGTGGAGAATGTTGTATTACTGGAAATGAGAGTTTAGATAGTGCCAGACTGGTCCATGGGGCCCTTTGGACATGACTGATGTAATGTCAAAAGTCCAACCGATGACAGAGTGGGAGTGCAGACACACTGCAGGACAAATTGAACCTCTCTGTATAAAGTGGATGATGTTTGGTAGGGTAATGCAGACAAAAGTTCAGTGATTTAAAAAAAAGAAGTTAATGGAGGCTGAACAGGCCCAACTTGGCTTCATTTGACTCATAAAACACACACACACACACAAGCACAGCCTCCAAAAACAATTCGGTATCACTATGAGCCTACTCATCAAAGTTCATCATCTCTTATTAGTGAATCAAAGCAAGGTGACTACTAGCCAACTAGATTCCCACACATACAACAAGGCTTCTCAGATCTAGTGAGTCAGTCACCTACCTGTCTGTATTTGTAACATCATGGCTAAAATTACCACACTGTAATAGAAAGAGGCTGTGGGACCCAGCCAAGGCCTGGAAATGAGCAGGGTCGTCTGTCTGACTGAGCACTGATGCATTCTTGTAAGGGGTGTCCTCCTGGAGACACTGGTGAGCAACACAATATAAACAATTATAATTACAAAGAGAATGACTTCAGTTCTCAGAATCACTCTTACTTAATGCCAGTTCCTGTCCTGTTCAAGCCAGATCTCTGCTTGGATGCTCAGCCCAGAGAATAATCAGTGGTGGAAGAAGTTCTCAGATCCTTTACTTAAGTAAAAGTAGCAATCCAGCATTGTAAAAACACTGCATTCAAAATGTTACTTAAATAAGAGTACAGAAGTATTAGCATCAAAACAAAGTACTACAAGTAAAAGTACTCATTATGCAGAATGGCACGTTTCACATTCCTGTGTATTATTGTATTATAATTACTGCTGCATTATTGTGCACATCGCATTTAATGCTGGGTTTATAACCATGGTTTATATTTCATAATTTTGCCAGACTCACCAAAAGTATTTCTCAAAGCTCCGTGATCTACATCATGGGAACTTTCTAATTCAGTGCACTCAGTTGAAAAATGTATATTTAGAAACAGTGGGGTGCTAATGTTTATCCATTTGGTGGAAAAGGCTTTTAAGAATGCAGCTGTCTTTGCACACTTTCACTGTCTGTCTTACACTTGCATGGCAATAAACAGCAGTACTGTAGAGTGCAGGCTGGGTGGATTATTCATAGCGGTTGCCTTGTTTCTGTCTTCCTCTGATGGATGGTTGAAGCTCTTATATCTGCAGATGTGCTCGGCACAGGCCATCTGTAAAACCACTTAGTGTTTTATAATCAGGAGACATTGGATTATGTAGAGAATGTGGTGAAAAAAAAGACTATACTGCCAGGAAGTGGACACCCTGACCTACTTTTCTCTCACCTGTTTAACTGAGCTTCAGAAATAACTGCCTTTACCTTTGTTTACCAGGAGATGGCAGAATAACACAATATCAGAAAAAAAAAATGTATGACAGCTTTTGTGTTACTAAACTGCACAAAACACAGTCTCACACAAAAATGTGAAAGTGTAAAATACCACAGTAGAAAATTCAACACTTTGGTTGGCTAAAGTTACCATTAAACAATATGTGAAAAAGATCTGTTGTTCTTTATACATTATAAAAATTAAAATGGTGTTTGAACAGTTGTGTAGAACCAGCACGTACGATGTCCACCTGATGAGTTCGAGTCACATATTCATTCTTCTTCTTGCTCTGAAAAACTCCTGAGGGAAATATCAGTCTCTTTAACTGATAAATGATTCACTATGGTCAACAGCTATCTCAGTAAAGTGGGTTTATTAGAGACACTGAAAAGCATCATAGTACTGAGGGGAGCTGCAGAGTTGGGTGGTAATTTTGGGTTCATTGTCATGAGCAACCTTTTTCTCACTGTCATTTTATCCATTATTGTTACTGAAATATTGGTTATAGCAGATTCAATGAGCCTAACAAATTGTCTGGTATGTGATTTGTTTCATGCTGTTCTTTCAGCTTTTATTTTGTGCAATAATATAGAATTATTTTTAAGTTAATAAATATTTCACTGTTGTAAATACCCTGTAAACTATACATGTGTATCAACTATAGCTATACAATATATGAAGAGCTGTGGAGCTGTTTGAGCCATCATGTTGCTGAGTGGGTTTAAGATGCTGTGTCCACCAGCTTTGCTGTTAGTCAGTTTGTAAATCTGTTTGTTATCTGTTTCAGATAAATGACATTTTGGGATTTAACATTTGATTTGCTAGTGTGTCATGCTGTTATATTATATTATGTTATCAGCGACTTTGTAAGACCACTTCCTGCTTTTTATTAGTGGGTATGTTTGTTTAAAATAAGAGCAAATGTTGCAGCTCAGTGTGCCTCATGTAGCAGTCTCTGTCTGACAGATGTATCTGACTGTAAAATGATTAATTCTGCTTTGTGAGCTAGCCTTCTGCATCATGC